ATCAAATTTTTGCTCCGTGAATCCTATAACTGTACAGTAAAAATCATTGTATATTTTCAAATTTTTGGTACATGGACCTGATTTTTTACATACTAATAAACATATAAACAAAATATAAGAATTTAATCAGACAAATGTCATTTTTCAAAGTGCACAGTAAATTTTCCGTGAATCAATGTGTCTGCAAACTTTTCGAACAACCCTCGTTCATGTACATACCCTTAGCACTGAAATCCTTTGAAACATGCACATATGTTAACACTTGTTGTTGTAGATGCCAAAATAGCAGTTCTCTCTAAATTATTTTGTAAAAATACATATATTACAAGTTCTTAATGTATTAAGGCCCGATATGTCCATATAAAATCCTAGCTGGAAGGACTTTAATCCTTTTATGACTGTTTATATTTCACTATGCTGCTTATTCTTTGTCATCTCCCAACAGATGCTCTCCTGGCAAATATGGTCATGCTTGGTATCAATTTTCAGTTATCAGATGACAGTCACACCTATCCAAAAGAAATTGAAATTTTTCATTTAAAATAAAACAAGAGGTCCAAGGGCCTTGAACCACTCTTCTGATAAACTGTACAACCTACCACTTCTATTTGAAGCCTCTAAGTATCCTGTATATTTAGGTAAAGCATTGAAATTCCAAAGGTAGGTCATCATGACCTACATTTCAGATGAAACACTCTAAGAACTTAATATGATTCTAAGCCAATGAGTACATGTACCTGAGAGTAGGTCACGGTGACCTACTTTTTAGTTGTACTCTGAGGACCCAAGATGCATAAAACTGACAAATTTTGATGATTCTAAGCCAATTAGTACCCAAAATATTAAATTAAGGTCACATTAATTGAGAAGTAGGTCACAGTGACCTACTTTTCAGTCGACCTACTCCAAGGATCCAAGATATATCAACTGACAAATTTTGATGATTCTAAGCTAAATAGTACCCATATATTAAATACAGCCATAAAATTTCAAAAGTAGGTCGGGGTGACCTACATTTCAGTTGTCATACTAAAATATTTAAAAATATTTAATTAAAGCCATACATTTTCAAAAGTAGGTCATGGTGACCTACTTTTTAGTCGACTTACTCCAAAGACCCAAGATGCATCAACTGACAAAGTTTGATAATTCTAAGCCAATTAGTACCTGACATATTTAATTATAGTCATATAAATTGAAAAGTAGGTCACAGTGACCTACTATTCAGTCGAACTACTCCAAGGACCTAAGATGCATCAAATGACGAAGTTTGATGATTCTAAGCCAAATATTTCCTGAAATATTTGATTAAAGCCATAAATTTAGAAAAGTAGGTCATGGTGACCTACTTTTCAGTCGACCTACTCCGAAGACCCAAAATGCATCAACTGACAAAGTTTGATGATTCTAAGCCAAATTAGTACCTGAAATATAAAAGTCATATTGAAAGTCATAAATTTTGAAAAGTAGGTCAGGGTGACGTACTTTTCAGTCTACTCCGAAGATCCAAGATGCATCAACTGACAAAGTTTGATGATTCTAAGCCAAATAGTACCTGAAATATTAAATTAAAGCCATAAATTTTCAAAAGTAGGTCACGGTGACCTACCTTTTAGTCGACCTACTCCGAAGACCCAAGACGCATCAACTGACAATGTTTGATGATTCTAGGCCAATTAGTACCTGAAATATTTAAATAAAGTCATATAAATTGAAATGTAGGTCAGGGTGACCTAGTTTTCAGTTGACGTTTTTCGAGGACCCAAGATGCATCAACTTATAAAGTTTTATGATCATAGACCTTAAAATGTCCAAATTATGCCTCTTAAACGCTTTGATATCCAATGAAGGCAATTTTCAAAGAATAGGTCACTGTGACCTACTTTTTAATAAATATGTTTTATGGCCCCAAGATGAATCATCTAAGATTTAATGATTCTAAACCTCTCAGTATTCGAATTAATGACCTTAGTTGTTTTGAAAAAGATTAGCCGTAAAATTCAAAAAGTAGGTCAATGTGACCTACTTTTTAGTTGACGTACTACGAGGACCCAAGATACATCAACTGACAAAGTTTGATGATCATAGGCCTTAAACTGTTAAAAATGTGCCTCTAAATCATTTTGAAAAAGAATGGCCACAAAATTTAAAAAGTAGGGTACCGTGACCTACTTTTTAGTCAACATGATATGAGATCCTTAGATGCATTAACTGACAAGATTTGATGATCCTAGTCTTTATAGTAAACAACATATCATATTAATAAAATGTAATTTTTGGTCAACTTTGAAGTAACCTTGAGACCACGCCCTTTGCCCCAGGGTGATGCCTTTTATAATTTTTAATCTACAACATATCCTCACCCTTTTATGTAAGTTTGGTGATAATCTGCCCAGTGGTTCTTGAGAAGATTTTTTAGCAACCAGTACTTTTGTTTCCATTTTCCTAATTACCTCCCCTTTAAAGGGTCACAACCCTAGTTATAGTAAAAACGGGAGCCCTTGGGCCAAGGATACCCTGTGACAAATTTGACAATCATTGGCCAAGGGGTTCTTGAGTTATGGCCCATATTCTAAAAAGTTTACGCACACCGCACAAATGGCCATAGCATTAGCTCTTTGAGCCTTTGGCTCAGAAGAGCCACAAAAAACCTGTGCAACTTATAAATGATAAATAGGGATGTCAATTTTACTCGGACAGCTTAGTCGAATAGTCAGAGGCTTTAGTCGAACAATAGTCGAGTAGTCGTTGAAATTTAAATTATTTTTTTCATGTCATTTTCCTATTTGTCTTTAGGAGACTGCTAGCCTGTACAATATTTATTCTACGCTATTACCATTATACAACAAATTATTGAATCATTATCATTTACGTAGTAATAAATATATATGTATCAGATGTTTTTGATTTCAAATATAATATTTACTGCACATTTTATCTAAATACATAACATCAAACGCTTGCATTTATCCTTTCTTTTCCTGCTGCTAGTACATGTACCCGTTATTGATTTCTTACCTGAAGACATTTAAATGGGACTCTTGTCAGTGACCCGTGATTGTTAAACAATTAAAGTGTAACTCTTATAAAAACAAAGAGAGCTTGCGATAATTTTTAATTATGAGATTTTTCGAGACAATCAATTCAATTTTAAAATGATTGATATTAATATCAGAAAGAAACACCTTTAAATTATTCTCATAACCATCACCCAGTTTACATGTACATGTATTTATAAATATGTATCAGTTATTTAATTATTCTTCATTAATTGGTAGTTGCATTATACGAGATCTTACGAAATTGCAAGTTAAAACTTTACAATTTGGATCTTACATCTTTTAAAGTATGCCAATGCATGTTTGTCGAACAAAAAATTCCTTTGAACAATTAATGAAGACTGGTTAAGCCTTTCCCTGAGTTTAAACACTGGTATGTTAACAAATGGACTAAGCAGATCCAATTTTTTTTTACCTTGAATTTAAGATTACTATTAAGTAGCAAATTTTTAACAAATAACCGCCTAAACAAATTTTAGTCGATAGTCGGTATGATCGAACAATAGTTGAGTACTCGGATATACGTTAACATCCCTAATGAAACTATTAAACTGAGTTCAAAGACACTGTCACATTTTCTGTGTATTATTTGTAAAAAGTACTCTATTAAATAGATGTTTACATGCAGTCATTTGAGGATGTAATAAAATAATAAATAGGGATTAATTGAGAGGTTTTTTTTATGATTTCACATAAAGGAAATGCACATAACTTGTATATATAACAAATTTATTAGGTATGGCAATGGTCAACTGGGTAACTGTCTTATCAGTCAGAAATATGGTAACCGGTTTAGTATGGGTTGACGGTTATGATTTTCATAACCGGTTAGTTAGTATTTTTTGTATATGTACTTTTTAAGTAATATACCCGTATACATATTTTGTAAAAAACTTACGACTTAGATCATGTAGATAGCATGTTTAAGACTATTCTCATTCAAGCAGATGCTCGACTGTCTCCATAAACTCCTGCTCGTCAGAGTTTACAGAGACAGACAAGCATCTGCTTGAATGAGATTAGTTTGAAACTGAAGAGTTGCAATCAACTAATTAAATTATTCGCAATCGACTAATCAAATTATTCACAATATACAGCCACTGTGAATAATGTTGATTCATTTTAAATGTATTCATTTTCAGCTGGGCTCATTGCTCATAAAGCAATTAATAGCCGGTTTATGTTACGGTGTTCAACCGGAAATGTTGCTTCCTCACCGCCAAATCAAAAACAAGTAAGAATATAGTACGTATGTTCAACCACCTTTGAGGCAATACAAACACTAAATTAAACAAATTTAACTTGATTAACTAAGAATTTCTCTAAACAAAACAAAACCAAAAAAAAACATTAATGGTAATATACTATCTCCATTCTTTGATAAATTATTTTTTTGAAATATGCGAAAGGTTTTTCACCAGTCTCCCTATCTGTGCCACATTCTATAAATAAAGGTTGTGTTACCAGGCTAACACTAACTCGGGGATCAGATGTACACCTTGATGCAAAACTCCCCGCTGAGGACTCATCTGTACATAAACCATTGGCCTTGCTGCATCAATATCTATATACTTATGTAAGTGGTATAAGACCCGAAACAATAAAAACTAGAAATATGTCCATAAGACATGAATGCCCCGCCGAGGGTATATTAGTTATGCAACATTTTAACACAAATTGAGAAAAATGAGGTCAAGGTCAAAGGAAAGGTCAAGGTGAAAAAATAATAATGTAGTTGAATAGCTTACATCAGTATGTGGCAGCATATGAAGCTTGACACTAATTTAAGAAAAGTAAGGTCAAGGGCAAAGGAAAGGTCAAGGTCAAAAATTGTTGATGCAGTTGAAAAGGTACGGCCTTTGGGTATGGTATAAAACCCGGGATGAAATCCACATACACCCTTGATTGAACCCAGATAATATTAGTTATCAAGATCCAATCATGGGTATATGGGGATTTATCCTGGGCTTTATTCCAGACACCCTGAGGCTGAGGCCGAAGGGTGTATGGAATACAACCTGGGGTAAATCCCCGTACACCCCTGATTGGACCTGTATACTTTGGCCTCAGGGTGTCTAGAATAAAACCCGGGGTAAATTCCCATACACCCTTGATTGGACTGGATAGAGAATTTATTTCCTATGTACCCAAATAGATTTTCTGTAAACAAGTCCAATCAACTGTGTTTCAAGATATCGATAAGATTTACTACGTCCTACACTCCATCACAACGTCATGTTATTTGCTTTTCATCATAGAGAAACTATGCATTGTAACGTCAAATTTTTACCCCCGGCTCAAGTGGGGTGTATACGGAAATTTACATCCGACTTTGTAACCAATCAAAGCTCGTGTTACAAGCTACATAGGAAATAACTAATATTACAGGTCTTAATTTATTAGTGTCAAAGTAAAGAATTCTGATTATTATCATTGTTTATAAATTGTTTTATATATGTAAGAACATAAACTGGAAAAAAAAAATTATAACAAAATTTCTAACAAGTCCTGTCTGTTTGATTAACCTGTTACTTGGTGAGAAAAATTTCGGACTAACCTGAGTTTCTAAAATTTATCCAACTGCCATCCCTAAAATTTATTTTAAACTTTCATATAAAACATTTCGAATTTTTTGCTGTTTATAAACACTGATCATGAAATATACCTGAGAAATTTAATTATGCTGCATGACTTTTTACATGTGTTACAGAATATCAAATTCTGACAGTTCATATTTAAAGTATTTAAAGTTTTTTGGCTAGTGTATTGTTGAACCTATGCCTTTTTGTTTTCAAGAATAAAGTAGCAAAGTTATTAGAGTATTTTCTCATTTTGTTCTAGAGTTGTGAAATTATGAGCTGATCCTTAATATGCAAGCTAGGTTCGACACTTACATTAGTCCGTTAGTTTCAGGCTAATACATTTTCATTCCGACTAATAAAACCTGTGGCTATAATAAGTCCGAATGGACATAACCCTTTATACTTTCAGTTCATATGGGTTTAAATCAACTGAGTGACAAAGATACAGATCCTATGGATAAAACCATATGAAACAAGGTCTCTTGTTTCAGTATGCGCTGGCATAGGTGCTAGGAAGAGTGAAACCACGAGTGAAAGTTTCTCATCAGATTTAAATAAAACAAACAACTAAAAATAAATATGGACTACTAATGACTGCTTTGCGCAGTGGTAGGAGCGTCTGCTCTAGAGTCGCGGAGTAAGGAGTTGATCCTTACGTCGCGGGTTTGAATGCCACTGTTGGACATGGAGACATGTTCTTTGGATGAGACCAGATAAAACCGAGGTCCGTGTTGCAATAGGTGCTGGCACGAAAAAGATTCTTCACTGCTCAATGGCCCTGAGTGCAAAGGCCCTGAGTGCAAAGGACAAAACCTGCAGCTCTCCACCGGCAATCAGTGGTGTCTACATATGAGTGATAAATTCTTGAGAGGGACGTTAAACAACTAACAAACAAATAATCCACTGTAGTTACACATACAGTACTAGGGATGGGTATCGCCAAAAATTTCGTATCGTGATATATCACGATTTTTTCTCCTAAATATCACGATAATATCGTGGTATTTTTACACGGAATATTTTACTACAATTTCTAATGAATTTCTATAATTTTTCTTACAAACAGGCTGTGAACATAACTTCAGTTTTCTTCATTTTAATTTATATAATATAAATCATGTTTGGATGCCGTAGTTTAACTTTTTTCAACATTTTTTTTAGACTTCCTGTCATTTTTATTTAATAGTTCGAAGATATAAATGAATAATTTCTGGAATTTTTAATTATGTACCAAATACCGGTATTTTAGTCTCCGTATCACGATACGTATCACGCAATAAAAAATCACGATATACCGGTATACCGATAAAATCGCGCATCCCTATACAGTACCATAATAATTATCATGATTATGTCATTCGATGTTTACTAGCTGGTATAACTGACTTCACACAGAATTTCAAACTATTTAATCTCTGCCAAATAGTTACGACATCATCGAGTATAGCTATATTTAGAGTACTCACTGCCATGACTATGAAATTTACACAGCCCATGAAAACTATATGCATTAACAAACTTACAAGTTTTTTGTTTTGTTTTTTTTTTCATTTGGGTCTGCCATGTACTACCCAACATACAGTACGTTGCATTGAGCTCAAAATAAATTTCATAACCACACTCCACAAAGAAAACAAAGTTTGATATACTAATTAACATACACTATTTTATTCTTAATCTTATCACTGCAGCTGAACTGTACCATCTGCTTTTTACAACTTAAAATAAATTATTTCAAATTCTTTGTGAAATAAGATCTAATAAAGTATTTATAAGAATTACAAGCTATTGTAGTAAAAGTTTGGTAATGTCATCAAAGTGTTTAATTACAGTTTGAGTCTGTACTATAGATAACATCAGCTGATCAGTGTATATATCATGTGCGTGCTGGCATTTATCAATCTGTGTATATTCCAAATAATTTAATTATGTAAAAAAAAAAAATCTTACCTTAATTCTTTTGAATCGTTCATACTTCACAGGAATGACATAGACACAACAACACATCACTGATAACTCTTCTCTTTTCTTACTCGTTACACAAATACTCTGCCGTCGGCATTTCCTCGCAATCAGAATAAATCCTTCTTTACACTAATGCTCCATATACATAATCAGAAATGTTAATCTGCACATAAGCCTAGCAGCGGATTGAATAATGCACATCTACATACGCAATCAATGTCAAACATACAGTGCGAATTTTTGGTTCGTTGACACATGCCGCCATGCCGGTCTCCTACCCACAATGCCGTTGAATGTTTACATCCAGTGCGATCGAACCAAAACATTTTACGATATTGTAACACTAACATATGAATTGGAATCTAGATGTGTTTAAAGTGACAAATATATAGGCTACACATTTAACCAGTATAATAGAAAGCCGTCATATAGTAATAATTGTATACATTTAGGTCCTGACAAGGCATGTACGCGTTGATCTATTTTTAGCTTGTAGACAACTTGTTCTTATAATTACATGAAATTCATTTCGTAAAATAGCTTTAAATAAAGCATGATTTTCTTTTCTTTTTATGGCAAATAAAAAGATTTAGTATGCTAGATAGTATAAAATAGAAATTTTGCAGGAAATGTCAACATTTTTAGCTATTTGAAAAAAGACATTTATGACGTACTGGCCTCTAAATATAGGGGCCAGCCCTTTTTTCTTGATCTTATCTGGAAGCTCTTGTAATTACACACAACCTTTGTTCTACATGTCTTACCAAATTTTTCTGTTTAAAAGTTATTACACAACAAGCAGCAAAATTTCATGGAAAAAAAAACTAAAATTTGCCGTCACATAGCTTCCGAACCTTAAAAAATTAGCCAATAATTTTAACGTTCTGCATATCTACAATGTATTAGCTACAAATTCTCCAACTTTCATGCAAATATTGTATGTCGTTTCTGAGATTTCTGCTGGACACAAGACATCCCAAATATCAATTAAAGGGCAATAACTCATAAATGGAGGCAAATATCAAAACATTGAAAAAAAAAAAACATTTTTAGGATTTAATACAATGTATCTATCCTGAAAGTTTCATAAGAATCCGACAAAAGGTCTCTGAGAAATCTGTCAAAAATCGGCGGGAAAAAAAATAATAATAAGAAACAGTAGAATAACAGTAGGGTCTTCCGAAAGGAAGCTTCGGAAGACCCAAATAATAGGGAAAAAGAAACCGAACGAAAACAATAAGGTCTTCCGTTGGAGACGGAAAACTTTAATAATAATAAGAAACCGAGTAAAAACAATATGTTCCCAAACTTCGTTTGGGGAACATAATTAGTAAACATTTGATTTTTTTTTAGGTCCTAAGGTTAGCAAACCTGTTACAACTACAAGACCATCCACTAGTCTGAGGCCCGGTGAAAACACTACTCGGAAGCCCGTTACAACCACTAGTCTTCGACCTGTTGACTCGCTCCGTGATAGGGAGGTCGTGAGTTCGAATCTCGGCCGCGACAGACCTAAGTCGATAAAAAATAGGTAGCAACTGTTCCTTCGCCATGCGCTCGGCACTTTGGAGTGAAAGTTGCGGGTCTTTCGGATGAGGCCTTAAAAACCGAGGCCCTGTGTCACGGCAGGCGTTGGCACGATAAAGATCCCTCACTGCTCAATGGCCCTGAGTGCCGAGTAAAGGTCAAATTTTGAAGCCCTTCACCGGTATATGGTGACGTCTCTATATGAGTGAAAAATTCTCGAATGGGACGTAAAACAATATACAATCAATCAATCAATCGACCTGTTGAAACCAGTACAAGGAAACCCGTTATAACCACTACTCGGAAGCCCGTTACTTCCACTCGTCTGAGGCCTGTTGAAACCACTACTCGGAAGCCCGTGACCACCACTAGTCTGAGGCCTGTTGAAACCACTACTTGGAAGCCCATTACTTCCACTAGTCTGAGGCCTGTTGAAACCACTACTCGGAAGCCCGTTAACACCACTAGTCTAAGGCTTGTTGAAACCACTACTCGGAAGCCCGTGACCACCACTAGTCTGAGGCCTGTTGAAACCACTACTCGGAAGCAGGTTAACACCACTAGTCTAAGGCCTGTTGAAACCACTACTCGAAAGCCCATCACTTCCACTGGTCTGGGGCCTGTTAAAACCACTACTCGGAAGCCCATCACTTCCACTAGTCTGAGGCCTGTTGAAACCACTACTCGAAAGCCCATTACTTCCACTAGTCTGAAGCCTCTTGAAACCACTACTCGAAAGCCCGTTACCCCCACTAGTCTGAGGCCTCTTGAAACCACCACTCGGAAGCCCATTACTTTCACTAGTCTGAGGCCTCTTGAAACCACTACTGAGAAGCGTGTTGTAACCACTACTCGGAAGTCTGTTGTAGCCACTACTCGGAAACCCATTACAACCACTAGTCAGAAGTTCCTAACAAGAAAACCTACAAGGCTGGTAACTGGTAAGTTGTTAGTTGTATCATAATTCAAACTACTGCTAACTTTACATAATGATTGTCAAATTGTCTTAACCTTGAACAAGTGTTTAATTTTTTTTCTGGAGTTATGTCAACATATAAATATAATTTGATAAAAAAAAAAACATATGAATAATAAAATATGTAAAAGTAACATGTTTAATGTTTATTTTTTTTTAGATGAAGAGGATGAGGATCTAGTTGAGGGTACATCATTAATGGTCATGTGACACAAAAACGGGTCATAAGCTAATTTTAATGTTTTCTCATCAACCAATCAGATTATTTCATTCTAATTGGTGGTATAATAAATTGAAATATATGCCCCTTACAACGATATTCTGCAACAAGTCTTGAATTTCTGCAACATAAAGAAATTTACTGGTATTTGTTAAATTCTAAATCTAGTACTTTACTTTTAGCAAGAAAAAATGGCCATGACAATATCAACTTCCAAAAATAAATATTACAAAAGGAATAACAACGAAGCTTGACAACAAAGAAGACTTAACTACTGGAGAGAGGAAGGTCTTGCTAGAGAGAATATACAATGGCGTAGGAAAATATAAAGGGAGAAATAAAATATTTAAAAAAAAAAGATCTTTTGTTTTGAGTATCATCTACATTGCAGAATACTCAGACTATACTTTTAGAAAAATATGAAACGTGTGTCTTTAAGGACGGAAAAAATGGCAGATTAGGTTTTAATTGTCTTCTAAAGATGACCTCATTTCATCCTAGAAATTGCAGCAGCAAAGAAGCTCTTTGGTTCAATGATAACATTTAAATAAATAATGAGACAGCGTTCTGGAAAAAATAAAATAAAAGAGGTATCTCATTGATTGGAGATATCTATGTGATAATTATGATTTTTTTAAGCCTTGAAGAATTAAGTAATCTGGTATGACTTGAATATACCTTTTTTTGATTACTTTTGTTTAAAGAAAATGCAATTCCATATTATTGGCGAAAATATATAAGACAAAACAAAAAAGTTTCTTTTAATAGAGATTCTTTGACCATACGTTTCAATAATAAGAGAAGTCCTTTCTCAAAAATATCTTAAAAAGACTTTTACTGGATTACAGTGGAAAGTTTAAATGAAGTAACAACATCTGTACAAAAATGGGAGGAAATATTTAACACAAATTTCTCACAAACAGACTTGGAAAAAAATTTCATACTACCTTTTGTATGTTCTAATGAAACGTCACTACAGTCTTTTCAGTATAAGCTAACCCATAGAATTTTATCTCATAATAAACTACTGTTTCAATTGCAAATTACCCCCCCCCCCCCAATGTTTTTATGTAAAAAAGAAGATACTTTAGAACACAAGTTTTATTACTGTTCTTGTGTCGCTACATTTTGGAACCACTTTCTAACTTGGCGAAATGTCCTACACATTTTCTACATAGACTAGCTATCTAGTCAAAATGTTATATTAAGTCTATATGAGAGAAAATGAGAGAGTTTGAATTACTGTATTTTGCTTTCTAAGATTTATATTCATTCAGTGTCTATAGCTCATTTGAATGTCCTTAAAAAAGAATCAAGTTTCCATGCCTTTTTATACCGTCTGAATAGTAATTTAGATATTTTTAATGAAACTTGGCAACCAATATTAGATGCATTATAATTATTACCTCAAAACTAATGGTATTTTTTTACTATGTATTAATTTAAATCAAATGTCTGAATTTCACTCGAGGCTTACCTTCAAAGTTTTCTTCTACAGGGAAAACTTTAAAGTATTTCGCATCGGTATTAAAGGACGGTATCCCGATTTCCTTTAGCACGTTTCAGGCAGAAAACAACCTGAAACTAAAGAGAGGAAAATTCCTCAAAGTGTTCAAAGCACAGGTATCGTCGCGCTTTGGAGTAGAAACAAAGAATGACTCCATAGAAAGAAGTCTTTCTTTATATATACTTATGACATATAAATGGTTACTTTTGTCTTTATTAGTGAAGAAACAGATATATAGTCCAGAGAGTGGGGGAGGATCGGAAGTTTTATTTTCCATAAGGACAGTCAATTTGTTGTGAAGGATGTGAACCTGATTCTGAAATCTAAGATTCTCTACAGCATATGAAGAAATATGTTTTAATCAACTTCATTCCACTTGGAATAACGTAAGGTGTATCATATTTTTATTGGTTTTAATAGTTAGAAAAAGTAAAATATTTTTTATTCACATTTTTCTACTGTTGAAAACGAAAGCCAGTGAAAAAAAACTTGGTTTTGGATGCAATTACATTCGTCTTTTTTATTTAAAAGAGATCCAAGGGCTTTAAGGAATCACCTGTGTATATTATAACACTGTAAAGGACCAGTAGATTGAATAATTAAAAAACAAAACAAAATAAACTGAATATGTTGTAAAAAAAAAAAAAAAAAGAAATAGGATGATCAAGAATAAGTAACCTAACTAATAAATAGTTTTTGATTTACCTAACACCAGAATCAAAAGGTCAAAGTTGTTGGTATCCAAAGAAAGGTATTGTCACAAGGAGGACACATGCGAAATATGAAAGACCTAGCACAAATTATTCAAAAGTTATGGCCAAGGTTTAATTTTTTTTCAAGAGTAGGTCAAACTCCCAGGTCAAGGACAAAGATGTTGGTAATCAAAGGAAGGTCTTTTCACAAGGAATACACATGTGAAGTTTGAAAGCCTAAGCTCCAACTATTCAAAAGCTATGGCCAAGGTTAAAGTCTCATAAAATTTTGCAAACGTGGGTCAAACTCCAAGGTCAAGGTCAAATATGATGGTACCCAAAGAAAGGTCTTGTCACAAGGAATACACATGTGAAATATGAACGCCATATATATATATATATATATATATATATATATATATCAGCATAGAATAACTGTTACAAATTTCCCATGAAGGCATGTTAAAAGACTGAAATTTTACTGAATAGTGAGCACGGTTCGTTGTTAATACGATAAGAATATCTATTTAATGAAATATTTTACTAGGTTTAAATATTTTATTAAATATGTGTAGATCATGGAAACATCATGTAAACTAACTGCTTGGGAGGAGGCAGCAAAGGAGAATATTATTTAACCTCCTTTTCTTACGATGTCCGAGGCAACCTCGGTGGGGCTGAGTGAAAAGCCATCTCTCGGACCAGTAATGATTGAGCATGTATTATTTTATGGATATTCTTACACATGTTCAGTATTTGTTCACTAAAAAATCCAATCATCCAAAAATATAATACTTGAATATTAAATATCACATAAAAATACTAAAAAATTATTATATGAATTGTAATTTGAAATAAACAAACAAATCAATACTAGGTTGGGTGTAGTTTAACAAAGCATTGTTTAAGATAATGGGATGAATTTCTTTTAAAAGTATCATTACTCAATGAAATTTGATAAAATGCAATGATTTTTTCACTTTGTGACACTACTGAGTCAGAATTTGATTCTTTTGAAGATCTATCTTGGGAGAGAATCTTGAGGAAAATATATTTACTTCCGACATGGCGAGGGTTGAGTCAACCACTGGGGTTCAGACAAGGAAGACGAAGAGGAGGGGAGGATGTTATCGTGGTGGACTACTGAGACATAAAAATAAAAACATGAAGATTGTATTTTAAAATTTATACAAATTTAGATCAGCTGGTCATTCAGTATGTAAACTATCTGGGGATTGTTTGATGATATGTGGTGGAATGCATATACAATATTTTGTTGTTACAAGTAAGCGAATGGTACCAAGTCCAAGAGATTTTGAAAATGAATGTAGAATTAGAAGGTTTTTATCCAATTGACAAATATAGCACAACAAATTAAGATCATTTCTGTTTATATTGTCTTGTTTCTATTCATTTTCATGAATTTGAAGTCATCTCGTTTACTTTGACGTCATATTGTATCATTATTAATTTAGTCCGAGTGTTTCCTTAACACTTCACCTGCGATGGTAAATGTTGCTGAAGTCTGAACAAAACTGATATATGTTTTACGGTCTTCCAGACATCCCCATATGAGATTTAGCAATCTGTTCTCAACTCTTACCCGCCGGAAGCAACAGTTGAGGTAATCCTCCAATCACCTGCAGAATGGATAGTTTCAGTGAGAGATATTATGAGAAAAGTAAGTAATTTATTTTTTTATATATTCTGTTCCATTTTTAAAATAAATGCAGTTTGAATTTTTATCAAAGTCTGTTTCAAGTTAATGGTCTTGAGATCTGCTTTTGAAGGAGGCCTTATAGGAGTACACAGCTCTGGTACGATGGAGGGAAAAAATGAGCTTAGAGTCTCTTACTGCAGTGGCTTGGTAGCTTGAGTTTTCGGCAAATTATGCAATGAAAACAACATTAAATCTCAAACGTGCCTGACAAAAAAAAATATATCTATGGACTTTACTTAGAGCAAGCCACCAACCCAGTGTCTAAATCCCACTTTTAAAAAGTAATTGAAACTGAATTTGCTATTCCTAAAAATGCCAACTGTATTTAATTCTGATTTAAATTGCAATGATGTTATAAATTTTATATATATTATACATCAGACAGAATTGCTTTCAATTTTGATATCTGGATCGTAGTAGCGAATTCGTTTCTCAAAGTGCGACAAATGCACATTAATATAAGAAAATCTGTCAACATGCAGGGACAAGCATCAAAGGGAGACATCAATGAAAATGAGGGAAAAGCAAAGTAATAATTTTTTATTTGAAAAATGAACCTTTTCCTTTAAAACAGAACAACTTGTTGAGAAGCAAAAAAAAAAACAAAACGTATAAATGTGGAACAAATAAAAAAAAAGTTTACGAATTAGAGGGGGGAAATTTGAAGACAAATGGTGAGATTCAAAACAAAATAAATATAACTGTAATTCATCAAATTCGAAATTCATTAATTAAATTCGTTACAGCCTTCCTTTCCACATCAGAACTTTTTTGCCTATCACTACCTATCCTATCCTTATTTTTTTCAGGGGACGCCGTTCTCTCAATCACATGTCAATGCAGTATGGGAGCGGTGTCCCTTCCCAAGGCCACACTCTTCACCAAACCGGACACCATCTCCCATAGACCCCACCACGTCGTCCACCACCACCACCATGGTTTTTTTCCCCCCAGAATTGTATGTACAAGAAGGGCACCGCAAAGCGGAGCATCCTCTCGCAAAGACCATATCTATGAATGAAGGTAGCATTCACTTTCGTTTTGCACA